ACCGTGGACGCACACGGTTTACGCAGTACATACCGTCAAAACCTGCTAAATATGGTATCAAGGTTTGGTGGATTTGCGATGCCACAAATGCATATCCACTGCATGGACAAATATATACTGGCCAAGCAGAAACTGGTAGGGAAACGAACCAAGGCGAACGAGTGGTGAAGGATTTGTCTGCCAAATACCAAGGAAGTGGCCGAAACATTACAATGGACAATTTGTTTACGACCTTGCCAGTTGCAGAACTGCTTCTCACCTGGAAACTCACGATCGTTGGAACTTTGCGCAAAAACAAATCATATATTCCTCAAGAAATGAAGCAGAACAAAAACAGGACAATTGGTTCAACGACATTTGGCTTCAAAAATAATGTGACAATGTGCTCTTATGTTCCCAAAAAAAATAAAGCAGTAGTTTTGCTTTCGACCATGCATAATGATGCTGAAATAGCTGACAGTGGGAAACCTGAAATAATTGAATATTATAATCGTACCAAAGGTGGTGTTGATCGAATGGACCAAATGTTTGCGGAATATCCAACACAAAGACAAACAAAACGATGTCCACTAGCGATGTTCTTCAACATGTTGGACATTACAGCTCTTGCAGCCTACATTGTCTACGATTTGAATAACCCTATGTTGCCTTGGAGAACAAACAACAAGCGTAAGCAGATCCTGCGCAGCTTGGCTGAAGCATTGTGTATGCCCATTATTGAAGCCAGAGCCATAAATCGTCAAGTGACGCGAAATTTTTCGACTAAAATTGCTATTGAAGCATATTTCAACCGACCGGTGGAATCAATGGTGTCAACAGCAGCATCAACATCTGCCGCAGCGCGCACGCCAAAACCTGTGTCCGGATCTTGCTATTTATGTTACGCACAAGAGGAAAAACGCCGTAGAAAAACCAGAAAGCTGTGCGACAAATGTAAGAAGCCAATGTGTCTTGAACATTCGGTCACATCAACAAATTGCTCTATTTGCCATAATTTTCCTTAGATATAAGATGCATTTTTATAATTTTTATAATAAAAGTCAATAATATAATGTGTGAAATGAATATTTTTAATTTTTCAAATAAAAAAGTAATATAAAAAATGTTTTTTTTTATTATTATGAGGATTTTTACTATTGGGGTACAAACGTATCCCGGGTGTGTGTTTACGTATATAATGTGTTTGGAAGGCTGTAGCTCCTGAACCAATGGTCCGATCTGGTTCAAATTTTGAATTTGAACTCAAAACTAAATAATCTTCCTAGATCCGAAGTTAGCGGTATAGAGGTATAGCGGTCCAAAAGTTACAACACTTCAAAGTTGAAAGTGGATACATTTGTACCCGGGTGTGTGTTCTAGGGTTAAAGGTAAATTATGATACAAACGAAAAATGTCATACGGCAACCGTAGTCCGCACACACTAAAGTAAACAAACTGGAGATTAATAGCAAATTAGCGAAAAATAAACACAACAAACGTTGTGCATATTAAATTTACTCACTTTTTCGTTGTATACTAGCATTAATAATAAAATTTGCAATAAATAACTCAAAAAGGCCATATTTGCTTTTGTTTATTTACAAACATGTGTTTGTGATCAGCTGATTTTCTTACTTGCAAGTTTTAGATGGGAAAAATTTTTCCACCAGAAATTTGCAGCTCTCTTTCATATTTTGCTCTCTCAATTTCCCCTACTTTGCAAGTTTTTTGGGTACGAGAACGCAAAACCAGTAAAAGTTTTCTAAAACTTTAGATAGTTGGGCGTACGAGTACACTCCTATTGTTAGTCTTTAGGTAGTACTATGAGATAAGTTGTAACATTAATAGCAAATAATTGTGAATTAGGATGTGTTTTGAAATGAAGTCACGTTGTTTGGTTTGAACGGTTTAATTAAAAGATGTGTTTCTAATTAGGACGAGTTGGTGTGGGTGTTGCACAGGTGTGATGGAGGGGAAGTGGGTGTAGTGACTGAACGGATACAATCAGAATGACTTGACCGACAAAACACCGACGTACCTTACGTCAGGTTTAGGGGGCCTTGCGGGATAGCGGGAGTCATGGCGAGGCCCAAGGCTGCTTTGAGTGTAAGCAGATGGGGTGGGATTTTTTTACCTCGCTTTTATTAGCTCGGGATGTAACTATGTAATATTGATGCGCCTAAAAGACGCAGCGATCTCCATTCTCAAGTTACATAACTGACGACAGTACGAATGGGTATTTTAATAGCGCGGTTTTAGTTTTTTTAAACTACAATTTTTATTTCTTCCCACTTTATCTATCTTTCTAATGTTTCTCACATTTCGGTAACTAGGCATGAACTCCCTATTTTGTTTATGTCTGCTGTAGGTAAGGTGGGTGGTAAGGACCACGCCCGCCGACGAGCTAACCTAGCCCTAGCATGCCGACCACCACACAACACTTGCACAACTTCGCTCCGGCTACTGCAGCAGGTTAAACTCCTACCTGAGTAGGTTGAATGGGGATGTGGCGAATGAGTGTCCGGCATGCGGAGAGACCCCACATGACTCGAAACATCTCTTCGCATGCCCGGAAAACCCGGCAACCCTAACGGCCTTGTCCCTGTGGACAAACCCCACAGAAGCTGCACGCTTCCTAGGGTTGCCGTTAGTGGAACTTGACGACAACGACTGAGATACCAACCGTCCTGGGCGGGGTTGTTGTAGCCGCTGCTACAACAACAACAACAACCACCACAGTACCATACCCTCAAAGTCAGAGACATAACATAATGCCAACTCTTCTTGAGAAATAAGCGAACAAGTAAAAAGGCAACATTGGTGGGGATGCGAAAGCAATAGAGTGCGAGTTTCCCATCGCATCGCATTTGATTTTCGAATCGCATTGCTTTGCGTATCGAATTACAGAGTAGGGGCCCTGATATTTTTAAAGCAAAATATTTAAGCGGTTGAAAGCCTTCTACATATTATGCACTTGTTAATTTCGAAAATCTATTTGGCGATTTCTGAAATCCATTTGACGAGTTCTAAAATCCAACTGACGCTTTCTGAAATCCATTTGCCTCCAATTACATATTCTGAAATCAAATTAACATATTTTGAATCCAATTACCTATTCCGGAATCCAACGAATATTTTCGGACATCCAATTGTCTATTCTGAAATCCAATCGAGGCTTTCCGAAATGCAATTTGATAAGGCTGTTCAGAATGTTGTGGAAATGGCCTTGGATTTTCAGTTGGAATTGCATTTGCAAATTTTATGCTTGCTGCCATGGCGACCGTGTGAATTTTATTGTTGTGAATTTACAAATGAAAGAATATACAAATATGCAAGATCATATGCACAAGATTCTGAACAGCCCCGATGTTTTCTCATTTCAAACTGGAAAAAGTGTAGTTAAGTATAATTGAAATGTTTTATGTTATTTTATTTTAAATTAACCAGGTTTGTGTTTATGTATAGTAAAATTAAAAAATCTTCATAATTTAGGAACCCCTTTTTTTATAAGATTACAGCTTTTTGGTAGTTGAGAGCAAGTTCTTGATTGTATAACGTCGAAGTTACAAAAGGAAAAAAACTTCTCATAAATTCGCCGGGTATATAAGGTTCTGTTTCGCCCGACCATCTTTAATTCTTATATAGAAGATTTAGATGCATATTTCTGTGGTTATAAGCAATAATCGCCTAAGTCGAAAATCCTGAATTCGAGAAAAAACGCTTTAAAGATTTGGATTGTAATGTAAACCTTATGGGGAAACCAAAATATTTTGATCTATAACTTTTTAAATAGCCTAGGTAACGAGATGGGAGTTTTACACACACATGGAATAGTAGTTGCAGAAAACGACAGCATATATAACTCAATTCTTTCTTAAGTCGACTTAGGCGGTTATTGGTTATGACCACAGATTTATAGTTAAGTAATTTTATTAATTCAATTTTAATTTAACATAACAACTTGTAGAAAAATAGTTGCAATTACACTCTCATCAATAATGTATGTACATATTATTATGTAGGTAATAAAAATCATTTCATTTAAATTTAAGTGTATGTTCAAAGAAAGTATAGGTACTAGACCGTTCGTTATTTCAACTTCTTTTTTAAATATTCAGTTTGCCGGGCGGCAAAAGATGTCTTTTGGTCTAAAAATAAGCTGTGCAAAATTTTATTCGAATATGATAACTCTAAGTACTTGCGCGTTGCATTTGAAAATTTAGAAAACCATATGCATTGTGGAAAAAAATTTTTTAACAAAATAGTTGAAAGTCGTTAATTTTATAGTCATTTGTTATGTAAAATAACTCACACAATCTGAATATGAGGTCGAAAATTAAAAAAGTAGAATAGGTTTTAAGAATTTGCGAAATTATCGTTTGTTTTCAAATTGAGAAAACAGCATTTTCATTTTTTTCCAAAAATATCCGGTCGTGATTATCACACCGCAAAGAGATCTCCACCAGATGAAAGGTCTTTGAAATCCCTACGAACCTGCTATACAATGTTTTGCAATCAAATTATCAGTTTAAGAGTT